AGGTACCTACTCTGAGTAACAGCTCGCTTTTATAACCTTACGCATTGATGTTTACGTTCCTTTACGTATTAGCTAAGTTCATAATGATTAAGAGTAGAGAAAATCATAAAACTCTTCAAGTATAAAATTAAATAATTCCGTTCCGAATGAAATTTCTCCAGCGCTCTTTCTGACGTCACATGTGGCGTCGTAAAATGATCATGTGTGCCTAGTGTTATGTAACACAGTCCATCGACCTCTTCCAATGTGAATGTCAGCTGTTAAATGTTTGTGAAACGTATTGACCACCGAAATTTATGATTCGGGCGTGTCGCGGTGTCGTTTATTTACTTACTTATATTTTATCATCTGAGATTAGGTTTAGCTTAAATGTAAGTTTTTAATGTGAAAGAAAACATTGGTTTTGAATACCATAAATAAATTTGGAATGAACAAATCCATGGAAACTTAAAGGACATAACCATTATTACTAATTTATTCATGATCTGATACTACAGACTTGTCTATTTGTAGAGTAAGATTAATTAACTTTAAGAATGGGTCGCTTTCATATTATATATTATTATGTAAGTCGCAATATAGAGATGTAAGTTAACTGCTTAAATTTAATGAGACAGTTTCGTATAGGAGTTTTTCGTAATACGAGTAGAATATGGACATTATTTCTTTGTGATTTTTTTCTTTTAGCATTTTTACATTAAGATCAATTCCTAGGTACGTATACATATAAAAAAAATCTTATTAACATTTGGCCAAAATATTTCATCTATCAAGATAGTAAGCCGTGAAAAGTAAATGAGTCGTCTATTATCAAAGGTGGCAATCTGTACATTTGGACAAAAAATTTTTATTGATATGTCAATACAGATTGATTTGAATATAATCGTCTCCTTCAAAGAATACGGTTCAAAACCTGCATTAAATAAAGGTTAATAGTTAACCTGTTATTTATCTAAGATGTCGTTCCGAAGAGTTTTGTGACTGCCAATGGAATACAAAGTCAATAATTCGTTTTTCTGATTTACCAATCATTGTCCAAAAGTCAGATTGCCGCCTTTGATAATAGTCGACTCAAATAATGTATTGTACATATGAGAATAGGAACAATGTAATACCAGCGTTATCTCTGAGTGAGAGGCAGCAATTGTATCGATCGTGCTGCGGGTCCATTACATTTAATGAATTTGAACATCTGCGGTATTATTCTCTGTTACAAAAATGGGGAGTTCTATTATTAGAAATTTGGGCTATAATTGTATTAGTTCATTCACTTAATAAAACGGTTTTGTTAGTTGAAATTTTTTTTGTACTTTTTGTTTTTATTTTTAAAGAGGGGTTACTCGTCGACGCATATCGCACCTCTAGAATTTAAATGGCTTAATTCATGTTTTTTGGTAATAACGCCAAAAATCTGATTGAAGAATTGTAATTTCCTAGTTATTCGATTTTAATACTTTAACGCATGCGCTTGATTTAATAGAAACGCAAAGATCACTTTGTCCTTTTCTAGACTAAAAGAAACTGTTTAATTGTATAAACTGGTAGTATACCTACATTCTTATAACACGTTCAAAGCTTAAAATTCATTTTCTTAAAATTTTTAGTTAAGTCATTTTAATTGTAAATGTTCGATAGGGGCTACCTAATATAACTTTAATAAAACGTTGAATAAATTAATAAAGTAAATGGTTTTATTTATTTATTTATTAAAAACAACATGTGACGTTTAGTGTCATGCTCATTTTATTTATGCTTCTAATATTCACTTCTTTTAGAAACCTCAAATATAAATACGTAATTATTTATATTTTATCGACAAGGAAAACAGGAACAAAATTGATTTTTGAAAAAATAATAATAATAATAACTTCCGGTGATTTGTTCATGTTACTGAGCACTTACCGCGTGTATTTTGCTGTTAAATTTACGTCATGTAAAATACATAATTAAATCGTCCTTCGATGTAAACGGAAAACAATTTTCATTGGGAGGTGTGGAATGAATACTTTTCGTTTAAGGAAATTTATATCAGTGAACCCATAGTAAAATATAAGGTAAATACAGTTCGCGAACCGACAACGCGTTCCCATTATTTTCACATATGCGACTTACTAAGTATATAACTTAGATTGAAAAGTCGAATTTAATATTAATAGGTATCAAATCAATTTATACATAGATACATAAAGTTCGCCGAATGTTTGAAATACTATCGTAATTATTAACAGGCCAATACTTAGACCGTTTATGTTTTATATTTTCTGTGTTTTATTATTTGAATTTGATCTTGTAAACGTGGAACAACCCACTGAATTTCTCGCCGGATCTTCTCAGTGGGTCGCAATTTCGATCCGGCAGTAGATTCTGCAAAGCACTGCTCTTTCTAGGGCTAGCCTGTGAGTTACCTACCCGTCCGCGAGAAACTGGAATAGCCCTTTAGGCTACCATCGAATAAGTTTAAAAAAGTGGAAAGAACCACTGTCTCCAAAATCGTTTTATTGATTCTTCTATATCGTTCCCTCACTACTGAGAATCTCGACCACATGTGACGTTCTTCCACTGTGTTCGATCATCCATGGCATGGTTTTATTGATTACTTTAGAGCTTATCAACAGCTACTAAACAGAAAATCGGTTCACAAAAAAGGAAAAACGATGCTAAACTTGTTTTTCTTGTTTACGAGATTATACATTTCAAAAAGATTATATTATTTGCTATGCTAACAATATTAGTAGTTTTTTTTTTCGTCTCGTTTTTGTACTGTTATCGTTGCAGTAATCATAAACGGTAAGAATTCTCGTCGTTCCAAACTATTATTTTATACCTGACAGGATACGTTAGGCGTTCAAAATGTATCTAAGTCGTCGTGGATCTATCTATTATCTAAAGGATAAGACGCCTGGCGTACTGCTGTTGGGCAACGCGACTATGTTAGTGCTCAAATCCCGCAGGCCGGTATCAATTTATATATTAAATATATATAATGTTATATATATATTAAATACATAAAATAATATATTAAAACGTACTTGACTGATATTCATGACTGACTTCCATGATGAAGGAATAACATCGTATACTAAGTATGAAAGTCGCAACCAAAAAGCGTAATTACATAAGTTATGAGCTTAAGTAAACACTTAACATCAAGCGGGCCGTGAGCTCGTTCAGCCGTAGATATACGTAATTAATAATAATAATAATAAATCTTTCGATTGAAGCCTGTTCTACGCTGTTCATAGATTTGGGAAGATTAAAATTTATATTAATTTGATTTGATAATTATAAGTCGAACCATTTCAAGACTGTTCGCATAAATTTGCGTTTAATTATATCCAAACTATCATCCGAGCATATTAGGCACGTTTATGAGCAACTAAATTTGTCAATGTCGTTGAACTTTCAGAAGTGAAAATATACAATCTTTTTTCGAGAGTGCAAAATTAAAATTGCAAAATGCCAAGTCTTCTTGCGTTAGACACTGACTATTTCAGACGATGGGAGCTGAGAAACTTATCGAAGAAATTTCGTGGACGTAGTGCCTATCGAGGGTTTGTGAAGGGAGGGGGGCGGGGGGGGGGGTTAGCTTTCGCTATCCTGCTTATTGTGAGCGCGAATAGTTCAATAGTTCCCGTTTGGAGTATGGGACAGCCGTATAATATAATTGACTTTTCAACCTCATGAGTGACAGCGTATTCCTCGTATAAGTTCTGGTTACTGGTGGTAGGACGTATTTACTAGTAGTAGGTCGTCTTATTGGTGGTAGGACGTCTTGTGAGTCCGCACGGATAGACACCACAATCCTACCTATTTCTGCCGTGAAGCAGTAATGTGTTTCAGTTTCGAAGAGTGCGGCCGAATACTGTAAAAACTGAGACCTTAGATCTCATATCTCAAGGTAGGTGGCTGCATTCACGTTGTAGATGTCTATGGACTCCGGTAACCACTTAACACCAGGTGGGCCGTGACTCGTCTACCTGTCTAAGAAATTTTATATTCTGTAGAGAATATAAAAAAAAGTATAAACACCACTGCACACAACCGCCATTGAATGCCAACTGTATTGTTTTTTCTAGAAGTGTAATAACAAGGGAAGTCGTTATCGTATTCACTGACAGAGAATCTTAGTTACGGTACAGAGAATCTTGATTCTACAATGTTGCTATTGTTCGCTTAAAGCATGCCGTTAAACCAGGGCGCATATTGTCCGAATAGCACCTCTTTCTCCCGATCAGTCATATTTAATATCAAGATTTTCTCCTTTTGGGGATACAAAATCCATAGTATCTAAATGAATAGAGACAGAACAAGAAATTTGTTGTTTAAAGTACGGAGAAATTAAATGAACTAATGACTAATTAGATTATAGTGTGTAGACTTCATTTCCAAAGCCAGGAAATAAATACACAGATTGCAATAGTTCACTTAATTCTGTATTGCTTTATTTATAACTCCACTTGTACAATCTTTAAATATCTGCTCACTACGGAATACACTGCTTTCTCCCCGTTTTTTCAGACTACCGCCTTTTTTATTATGTCACGTCCCCATTGTCATTGCTTACACGAACAGTGTTGCTATTTGGCAATCTGAAAATTGCCTTAACTTTAACATGATAAATTTTATTTTAATTATTTTACAAGAAACCTTACAAGTGTGCTCATAATCGAATTAAGGCACCGGAAACGACCGGTCACAGGATTATTGAAATTTCATGATGGATTGAACGTCTTATTGTTGACGAATAACAACATACATTTTTACACTGGCCGTTAATTAATCTGTGACACTAAGAAACAAAGAATAGAAAGCTTCCGTTTCATTACTGATTTAACACATTCGTACTAGTGTTCATTGAACACAAAAATCTCGCGTGCAGACCAACGTCAAAAGACAGACAACCGCAATATCTCAACAAAGAATTCAAACAATATAACACGTACTCTCGTATTTTATTGTCAAATAAAGAGTTGCTCATTTAAGTTTGTTTTATGTTTCAGATCTCACGATGAGGTGTTTGTGATCTCAACAAGAAAGTGGGAGCGGCGAGTGCGCTGTCACCATGACGTCAGAACGAGCGATACCCCATCTGCGGGACATATTCGGTCTCAGCCAACAATACGACGGCAACTGTAAGAATTTTGATGAAAATGAAGACACCACCAAAAAGACTAAGAAGAAAAAAGATGACTATCGCACGTACGGTAATGGCGACGTCAAGACGCTAGAGAGACACCTCAGTATGAAGAAGACTATTAGGAAAAAGATAATGCGCGACCTTCAGCAAGCGTTCGTTGAAGACCCAAACGAGTTTAAGGTCGAGAATACGAGCCCTGAGAAATTGAAGGCAGAACTGAGCGCTGAAGCTGTTAAAATCGAGAAGAACGTCCGCAAGAACGATCCGACGTTCTTGGACATGTTGAGGGGAGAGACGCGGACCGAGGAGACCAGGGAGGAGCAGCCACCCGCTGAGAAGACCAGCTTCTGGCGACGTCTAACTATGAAGAACAAAAACAAGAGATAAAAATGAGGACTAATGCCGTGTATACAGTGTTCTTAGTGCGAGTTTTTTAACGTTCTCGATAGCGTAAAAGTTAGCTCATATTTGTGTGGAATGGGATCGTTTGCGTTCGTTTACCGCTAGGGGTGCTGTTCCAACTGCATACAAAATTGGGTTAACTTTTACGCTATCGAGAACGTTAAGAAACTCGCACTAAGCACACAGGTCGCTCTTTCATAAGTCCGTTTCCTATCGCATATCAATTGTTTATCATCAAACTTTTTAATAGTCCTCTATACAAGATAGGTTCTGCTCGAACTCTAAGTTATTCTAACGAACTGGCTTGAAAGTTCTGCAAGTGTTATTGAAGTCACGCCAAGACAACTTATTTTTCCGTGTTCAGATTTTTGAAAACTAAAAACGTTAATTATGCAAGTTAGCTATGCACTGGGAATAGAGCGACATGTAACATTTTTTTCTCGGCCATTGTTACTTATAACACTAAAAATGATATCTCGTTCTATGTGATGTAACATTAAGTCGACTAAATAGAGTAAGAATATTGTTGTAAGAGCGTAGGTTAAGTATTTCGTAAGCGGCGATTGTATAAGCTAGACTATTGGCGATTCCTTGTTGTGACAATTTTTATTATAATGCAATATAAATAATTTTACACATTTAATTTTGTGTTATTATTGAGTACTCATTTAAGCTAGTGAAACCAGTTATGTTCTATCAGAATTTGATTCAAATTAGACAAATAGCAATAAAATATATATTTGAATTGCCTAGAGATGAAATAAGCGTAATAATTCCTGATCCCGCGTTATTCCTCTTCGTGTTCAGATGTTTCAAGATTCTTCAGCCATCTTAATATTTTAAAAATAATTATGTATCTATTTTCACTATTTTTCATAGATTTTTTATTTTATGCACACGATGACTTTTTGAAAGGTAATTAATTAAAAAATAAAACACGCAGGAGATATAAAGTTTTATTTTTAAAATTGTATATTTCACTATAACAAAAATGGTACCTATTGAAACTCGGACTGCTAACTGACTGACTGTCACAGCAATTGTTGGTAAACTTAATTCTATGAAACTTCTATTTTATTCTTCTTCTTTTTGTCAGTATGACAATCGGCTTCTCTTTTTATTATTTATTTACAGTCAGCGGTTACAAGATTTTATAGCCCAGCATATGTATAATTTCTGGCACAGATTAATATATTAGTTACTATTTCTACATACGGAGTACGTAAAATTTCTGTTAAACTATTAGAAAAATGTTAAAAAGCCAAATGAGATGAAGTTGATCAATTTGAATATTTACAGTGCACTTTCACATATACAAAAAAATTAATAAACTCACATTTATTACACGTTGTAATCCGAAGAAACAATAAATTAATAAAATAGAACAGTTCACACAACTTCGCTCCTCACGTTCCCACTAACAGTTCTATATTATTATGATACTCTGTGACAATTATATATCCTATATCCTGCATTTATACTGTGGCTTAGAACTAACTGGCGGGAACATGAGATGTCGAATTGTGTAAATTTATTTATTTTGTCTACCTACTTTGTTTTTCCGATTTAAAAGTGGAATAATGAAAACATAGTATTGTAACTATTGAATTGTCAGGACATTCCCGCCATTTGCCCTCATAGCTAGGTACTTCAACTGTTTGATTTTGTTCTCTTTCACCTTTTACGAAACAAACATGGCTTAGATTTTTGTTAGAAAAGATTTGGCTGTATGGACCACGTTCCCTTTGCCGATACAAAATATAAGCCTACAGTTTTTTTTTTAAATAACAATAGTTTTAACTTTATGCCACTTTCAAGTAAAATACCGCACAGCAAGCACAAAGTGCACCTGTTCCAGCGGAACTATTGAGACCTATGAGATCGAAAATTGAAACTATTGACAGACGATCTATCCAAATTACGGAAATTTTCATCACATTTATGGTCTTCGAAGACATTAACTTGAAAATTATGATATATCAAGGATGAGAACATTATATTTCTCACTGTGGTTGGATATCCTGACTAAGTTCATCAAAATTTAAAAAAACATACTTTAACATTTTTATTTCGGGTTACTGTGCGATTTTTTGGTTCTTAAGCTAAGTTTGTATTGTTACAAATTTCATGGAGGGTGTCATGACATCTCAGGAGTGTAGCTAGTATACTAAATATGATTAATAGAGTTAATTTGGAATTAAAGTGGATAAGAAAAAATACAATCACGAATCTCATCAACGAATCTCACAACCCCGATTGTCATTAGACAACATTCATACCACCTCGGCAATAGGTATAATACCTATCTCTAGTCCCCAGAACCCGTCGCTTGCGACGAAGGGCTCGGCGAGTAAATTAGCCCACAGACAGCCCACTGAGTTTCTCGCCGGATCTTCTCAGTGGGTCGCGTTTCCGAACGGTGGTAGATTCTACGAAGCACTGCTCTTGCTAGGGATGTTGTTGTTTCTGTGACTACTAAGCAGCGTCTGTTAAGGCACACCTTCGTTCCTCGCCCTAACGACCATGCCAATTTCACGAAAATTTTGCTTTTTTCCCCTAACTATTCGCTTGGTAGCCTAAAGGACTGTTCTAACTACGCTGACTGGTAAGTGAGCTCACGGGGCTCAATCTGAAATATTGTGCAAACATTGGCCCTAGAAAAAGCAGTGCTCCCTCGGAACGGAATCGCGACCCACTGAGAAGATCCTGTGAGAAACTCAGTAGGCTGTGTCCATGGGTTAGTTCGCTAACGTAGATAAGGACGGTGCTTGAAGAGCTTAAAATCCACCGAAAGTGGATCTGACAAGACAGTCATGTTTCAGGTCACGGCGGATTTACGTCGTCCCGTCGCGTGGATTTGATATGTAATTAGTGACGCCCAAGATAAGAGGGTTAAGCGACCAATATTATTTTGATGCTAACCTTGAAATCTGCTGCTGAGTCAGTAGCAAAATGAGTATCGTCAGCTTCCACTATAGCCTTTAATTTGTTGTTTATGACCACATTTTCGGATAATTTAAAATAACATGAATTTGAGTGTATAATTAATTATTATCAATACAATAAATACGTTTCAAATCGCCAGTATTGTAAAATGGCTTCGTGGATTACGTCCTATTTCACTGTATTGTGTAAATTGTACAACGTGTCGCCATCTGTCGTTGGCAATTAGAACTATTTTATTTGAAACTAATTACACTAGATGTCAGTGTAGCTATTTGCTGCAGTTTCCACTTGAGAGCATTGATGTATTAAAAAACTTGAGAGCCATAGATATAAACGGAATGCCATTTTGAAACATAATATGGTCGAAGCTTCAAATATAATATTTATTGTATTTGTTGCTCCTGCAATTTTAATCACAACAAATACTTATTTGCGGTAAAATTAGTCAGAACGGCAGTAGGTATTTGGGTAAATAAGCGTGCGCAACCTACTTCCATTGTCACTAGACCAATCAAATACATTAATTTAGTGGAATAGTTTCAAGATCCACCGAATGGCATACTTTTCTTTCTGTCTCTTAGATTAGACCCAGGTTCAATCAAGATACTTAGTTTTGTAAATGAGAATACTTAAATTCGTCGACTGGCTTCCCGCACGCAGCTTTGTCCGCTTGGAGACACATCGCGTTACACCTGTACTCAGCAGTGGGATGAAAGGTAGCCTGTAATCTTTCTCAGGGCTCAGAACTATTTCAATACTGTCAAAATCAGTTCAGTGGCTTCTTACATCTAACTATATAAAACTAAATTCTAACAATAATTAAGTGCTGGTGGTAGGTAGGATGTGTTGACACGGGTAGGTACCATCACCCTGCCTATTTCTGCCGTGAAGCAGTAATGCGTTTCGGTTTGAAGGGTGGGGCAGCCGTTGTAACTATACTTGAGACCTTAGAACTTATATCTCAAGGTGGGTGGCGCATTTACGTTGTAGATGTCTATGGGCTCCAATAACCACTTAACACCAGGTGGGCTGTGAGCTCGCCCACACATCTAAGCAATAAAAAAAAAAATTTTTTTTTTTTAATTTTATTCCTATGAAATAAAGCCTGTATTCTGCCGTACAATATATATGGCTCTTTCTTTCGGTATGAATTTTTTTCAGGAGTTTTATGATATACGTTCTTATTGCTTATATGGGTGGATGAGCTCATAGTCCCATAGCATAACTCATAAACTGGTCACCGGAGCCCATAGAATACGACAACGTAGATATCGCCACCCACCTTGAGACTAGAATTCAATTTCAGCTTTAAAGTACAGACTGCCCCACTCTTCAAACCGAAACGAGTTACTGTTTCACAGCAGAAATAGGCAGATATATTTACTTAGTATTTAATTTGTTTAGAGTGTAGCTAAATCTTGACAAGAGAGCGACACCACCAGGTAAATATTATCGTTAAATTAGAATAAAAACACATCGCTGCACCTACCTACGTACCTACCTCTTATTTATTAAATATTTAATCTGTGCGCGTACCCAGCCATATTAACGCTATGAAATCGTCGTGGCCTAAAGGAAAAGACGTCCGGTGCATTAGTGTTGAGCGATGCACCGGTGTTCGAATCTCAGGCGGTTACCAATTTTTCTAATGAAATACGTACTCAAGAAATGTTCACGATTGACTTCGACAGTGAACGAATAACATCGTGTAATAAAAATCAAACCCGCAAAATTATAATTTGCATAATTACTGGTGGTAGGACCTCTTGTGAGTCCACGCGGGTAGGTACCACCTGCCTATTTCTGCCGTGAAGCAGTAATGCGTTTCGGTTTGAGGAGTGGGGCAGCCCTTGTAACTATACTCGAGACCTTAGAACTTATATCTCAAGGTGGGTGGCGCATTTACGTTGTAGATGTCTATTGGCTCCAGTAACCACTTAATACCTGTGGGCTGTGAGCTCATCCACCCATCTAAGCAATAAACAAAAAAGTACCTATTTGGTTCAGGGAGTTCATGTCCGGGCAATGGGGTATACCCGGAGGCCCGCTTCGTACCCCCGTAAGAGGGTACGATGACCCTTTTTACTTAATTGGTGTAGCGTTTTGAAACCTATTTCACCTTCATTTCACTATAATTACGATTATTTTATTATGTATGGTAATTTCTATTTTATCCATCAGGTGAAATAAGTTCCGTGTTTTATGGAAAGGAAATAAAACAATGTAATAGGTTTTAAGGAAAGTTTATTTATTTATTTTATTGGGTGTGCGTTTTCGAGTCGTAATCGCTTTAATTATATTTTACATTTATTTACGAATTATTTTAAATTTTTTACATTATTTTTACTTTAAGAATTTGAAGATCGTAACGATTTAACGAGGCAACGATGGAAACGATTTTAAAAACAAAATACCTAAGTAGAGAGAAAACTAACATCTCATAGCCACAAAACTATTCAATAACTATGTATGTGTATTATACACCACATATGTTATACACCAAAATATACAAATAAAACCTTTTTAATTCATAATAATGCACTTGCGGGATAACAAAATACATTAATGCAGGTTTCACAATTTTATCTGCTGATATTGAATACAAACTGAAAAATGTTAATGATAAACAAACGAAGAAGGTTTTAATAAAAAAAATTAGTGCAGAACTCTCTATACATATTCTTGAACAATTTGAAA